TTACTCAACTCTGTAACTTAAAAGCCGCCCGAACATAACCTCCCAGAATCCCCCGGCCAGAAAAGGCGGGCTGGGGAATTCTGGGAGTTGAAGTCCGGACGTCTTCAAGTTGCCAAGGTTGAGAAACACTGCTGTAAAGGGCTATGGGGCAGTATATAAGCCTAAAATCTAATTGCTGTTCCTGAACTTAAAACTATCTTATCACCTATTTGAAATTTTCAGAATTGGATGATTAAATTATTTGAAGCCGAGTTAAGAGACATGGCGAGAGAAGTAATTGTTAGCAATTTTGTTGGGAGGCCTTGCCTTCACCTTCCGTTTTCTTCTTCTTGGCATCTGGGCCACCTTTTTGTTTGGCTAATTCCTTCTTGCGTTTTCCAGGAAGAGCGTCTGGGGAGTAAAAGGGGAAACAGATTTTAGAAAAATGCATATACAGGGGGAAAAAAGCCCGCGAGACAAAAGAGTGCCCCAAAGTTAACGCTGGATCAGGACTTGACTATCTTGAGGATTTGCTCATGTGTGATTTTGGACCACATCAGTTCAGCGAGAAGTCATCATTTCCAGCTTTGGGACACCTACGGTGAAAAGGAAACCCACCTTGGGCCTAATGCAAAAGCAGCGGAACAGGTTAACTCACCTTCATCCTCGTCGTCGTCCTCGTCGTCCTCCTCTTCATCCCCTTCCTCCTCCTCGTCGTCCTCCTCCTCGGAGTCTTCATCATCTTCCTCCGAATCCTCCTTTGCTGCGGCTGCCTTGGCAGGGGTCGCTTTAGCCGGAACAGCTTTCTTTCCTTTTGCTGGAGTGATTTCCATGGGCTCATCTTCGGACTCTAAAGCCGTAACAGGAGAGCCATCCTGAGTCACTCCCGTGGTCCGCAGGTGTTGGCCCAAGACAAACTCCCAAGAACCACCTTCTCTTCATCTCCCTGGCATCTTCGGACTAACCTCCCCCCCCATCTCTACTGAAAATGCTCTACTAGTCCTAATCAATGTAAAGAGACAAGTCCCAAAGGTGTTTTTTTCAAGAGGCAACTGGACTTTCTGGTTCTCCATTGAAGATGTTTTGCTTCTTATCCAAGCTTCTTCAACTCTGATTGGATAGTGGGGAATGGAAGGATTTATACTCATTTATACTTAGTAAAGGTGAAGGTTCCCCTTGCACATATGTGCTAGTCGTTCCTGACTCTAGGGGGCGGTGCTCATCTCCGTTTCAAAGCCAAAGAGCCAGCGCTGTCCAAAGACNCTCTGTAAACCGCTTAGAGAGGGCTGTAAAGCAGTATGTAAGTCTAAGTGCTATTGTTATCATTAATAGAAGCTCATAGCATTTAAAATAGTATTCCTAAATCTGAATGCTGGCAGGATTCAAGAGACTGTAGGGTACACACATTAATTCAGAGAGCAATCAAACCAAGATTATCTTAGCAGCTTTGCAATAACATGCAGCGTTATCTATTGTCTCTTGTACACAAGTGGTGGTGGGGGGCTACAGGATGGCTCTCTCATTGGCCCACTCATTTGTTCAATGCCTGCTCCTTTACTCAAAGCTCCATTCCCAGATTACCCCATCAACAAGCGAGACACTTTCAAAAGGGACATAACATCTGTATAAAACACAGAAACATCCCAATTATGAAAGACAAATTTGCAATGAGGCCCCAGGACTGTATCATACAAAAACGACGCTGAAGCTCTAGGGGGAGTACAGAGAAATGAAACAAAGATGATCGGGAATCTGGAGGCTAAACCATGTGATGAACAGCTCAGGAAGATATGTCTACCCTAACAAGGAATGGGGGAGGGGGGACAATACATGATCGCTCTCTTCTAGTGCTCGCATGGCTGTCACAGAGAAGTAGAGGTTGATTTATTCTCCAAAGCACCCAAGGGCAGGTCAAGAAGCAATGGGTGAAAACTCATCAGATGCTACCTGGAACTAAAGAGGAATTTTCTAACAAGTGAGAATGGGACAGTTTGCCTCCCAAGAGTTGTTGGGCATTCCATTGCTGAAGGTTTTCAAGAAAAGACTGAGCGATCATTTGGCCAGGATGGTCTAAGGACTCCCGCCTTGGGCAGGGGCTGGACTAGAAGACCTCCAGGATCCCCTCCAGCCTTAGGATTCTATGATTCTGGCCGTCTGCAGAATATAATGAAATCATTATTTCTCCTTATTTGGAAGGTGCGTTTTATGGATACAGCCTAAACTGTATTAGCCTTTGAAAGCAGCCATTAATGTACCATTCACTCATATTCAGTTTACAATCAAGTATAACTATAGATCCATTTTCACCTCTAACCCAGTCCCAACACATTTCTCGTTTTTATTAGTTTTGTACTCTTTGGTAAGCTGCAATCTTATTTTCGGCTTGGATTAGCCATCTCCCATAAAGTTTGTGGCTTTTACAAATATATAAACAATTTTTCATTCAGCAATTGAATGCCTACAAATCCCAAATCCCCTCCCAAATCCCCTCACCTCTAGGATCCCAAATCCCAAATCCCCTCACCTCTAGGATCCACGAGGTTGGGAAAGGCAGCTTTAAAGTTAAATTCTTTTATATATATATTTTTAGAAAGAAAAATCTCCCTTTCCTCCCCCCTCGCCTCATATTTCCAACCTAGTGAAGTTCTTACTTTGAATTGCCAATTCTGACTTCTTGGACTTGAAGATCCTTTTTGGCAAAGAAATCTCTGATGGCAGCCTTGAGCTCTTCGAAGTTCTTGCTTGCATTGAGATTACTCATAAAGAGAGAGAAGGCAGCCTCTGCAAAGGTAAAGGAGAGATTAAGACATCTGGTAAATTATTCCCAGGATCAGCAGGAAGTGCTGGTGGAAAGATGCACGGAAAGTTTAAAAAAAAAAAAACCTAACCCTCAGTTCCTTGCTACTTTGGCCTCTCTTATACATTCAATTGCAATTTTTGGGAAAAGTAGGATAGTAATGCAGAACTATTGGTAGTCCTCAACTTACCACTGTATCCGAGACCAGAATGAGTGATTTTGACCCATTTTACGACTTTTCTTACCACATTTATTAAGTGAATTCATTGCAGTTGTTAAGTGAATCTGCTTCCCAACGGATTCTGCTTGTCAAAAGGCCACCAAAGGGGAGCACATGACCCCCCCACCCCCGGACAGTGCAACCATCGTAAGTGTGAGTCAGTTGCCAAGCCTCTGAATGCAAATCACGTGTCCCCTGGGGATGCTGCTATGGTCATAAATGTGAAAAATGGCCATAAGTCCCTTTTTCCAGTGTTGTTATAACTTCAGTCACCAACTGTAGTAATTTAAGGACTACCTGGATTATCCTCTTAAGGCAGAGCTCCCCAACCTTTCTGGTCTTGGTGGCCGGAGCAGGGGGGAGGGAGGGGATGGTTTTCTGGAAAGGACAAGTATGTGTGCGAGGCCTTGTTGCTTTGTGTGAGTGCCCGCAATGCTCGCACAAGTGGGCCCCCCGAGTCCCCACAATGTGAGTAGGGATCTGCGGGCACGCAACAATCACTCACGTGGCCCAGTTGCAAATAGGCTGTGGATTGGTAATGGGCCGTGGCTCACAGGTTAGAGATAATAATTCATATTCTGGGGGCAGACTAACGAGATCTTAGTGATTGGCTTCGCCCTGCTACCTTTACAGGAGCCCTGATGGCGCAGGGGTTCATAGTGCAGTGTTGCAGGTTGACTCTGCCCACCGCCAGGAGTTTGATCCTGATGGGGCTTTAAGGTTGACTCAGCCTTCCAACCATCCGAGGTCGGTGGAATGAGGATTGTTGGGGACAACAAGCAAATGATGCTTTCCCACTGTAAGCTGTCCAGAGAGTGCTGTAAAAGCAGTGTTTCTCAACCTTGGCAACTTGAAGACGTCCGGACTTCAACTCCCAGAATTCCCCAGCCAGCATTCGCTGGCTGGGGAATTCTNCAGTGTTTCTCAACCTTGGCAACTTGAAGATGTCCGGACTTCAACTCCCAGAATACCCCAGCCAGCGAATGCTGGCTGGGGTATTCTGGGAGTTGAAATCCGGACATCTTCAAGTTGCCAAGGTTGAGAAACACTGAGTTAGAAGGTCAAGCCATGGAGTCCGTTGCCAAGGATCCAGATTTTAATCACGTGACAATGGAAATGCTGCATGTGAAAAACCATCATGTTACTTTTTTCTGTGCCGTTGTAACTTTGAATGGTCACTAAATGAACTGAGGACTGACTACCTGTAGGGTCATCTGCCATTCTAAAATCCCCCTCAACTCAGACCATTAAAAAGAAATGCTCTTTTAAGAGCTACTCCTGTAATTTGACTTAGGAGTGGAATCAACACATCAGAACTTGCAGAAGACATCACCAGATCAGTATTAAGTCCCAAAACTCATCATTTGTGCTGATGTTTTCCTAACATCCCTCCTCACAATAACCCCGCCTGCTTCCTCTCTGCTAATTTCTTAAGTTTAACTGCTCTCCCTCCTCCTTGTTAAACCCAACTCAGTTGTACTTGAGTTTGTTGCAAGGAGTGGAGGCATCTACACCAGTGGTGGGTTTCCATTTTTTTTTTTACTACTGGTTCGCTTGTGCGCAGGTGATGCTTCTGGCGCATGCGGAGAAGCGTCTGGGTGGGTGGGCGGAGCCTCCCGCCACTAGCGGTTCGCCCGATCCGAGCCAAACTGGGAGCAACCCACCTCTGATCTACACCCTGCGCTTTTGCTACCTAGCTCTTTTAAGTAAAAGCTGCACTTCCCTCGAGGAGATGTACCTTCATCTTCACTATCCTCCTCGTCGTCTTCGTCTTCGTCCAGTTGCTTCAGGATGACAGGGGCTGCAGTGGGCTTCTTTTGAGGTCCTTGGGCTCCCCTTTTCTTCACCGGCACAGCAGGTTCCTCCTCAGAGTCATCTGTAGCAGTTTACTTAGATTAGTTCTTAGTCAATCAACCGATCAGCTTACATTTAATAAATTGACTCTCCTTTTGAAAAATTCATTCATTCATTTTTCACTCATTTATATTTATATGCCGCCCTTTTCCCCCGAAGGGGACTCAGGGCGGCTCACAATTCAAATCGGGGAAGGGGGGTACAGACAAAAAAATAAAAAAAGAAACATAACAATACATAATTTAAAAACACACAACAGTCATACCATTCGAGACGGGGGCAATGATGGGAGTAAGGAAAAAACGGGGGCGGGGGGCGCTACTGAGATCAGTCGTACAGCGGGGAAGATCCTTTCTACGTGCCCAAGTAGCCCGGGAGTGCCAAATGTAAGGAATATTGATACAGGTAGTCCTCGGCTTACAACAGCTCGCTTAGCGACCGTTCAAAGTTACAACAGCCCTGGAAAAAGGGACTTTGTTTATACTTATGACCATGGTCATGCGATTTACACTCAACTGTTTCATATTTACGACGATTGCCATGTCCCTGGGGGGGTTACGTGATCCCCTTTTGCGACCCTCTGACACGTAAAGCCAAGGGCAAAGCCGGATTCGCTCACTTAACAAATGTTTGACTTAGCAACGGAAATTCTGGCCTCGTGGTTGAAAGTCGAGGACTATCTGTATCATCATTTATTTATTTAATAGGTGTATATGGATCTATTGACCACTCAACTGCAGGGGACTCTGGATACAGCAATATACAAAACTTACAAGTCTCCTTGTTTACCCCGCCCGATTTACCTTCCTCACTATCATCTTCCTCCTCGTCCTCGTCCTCCTCGTCATCATCCTCTTCCTCCTCACTTTCTTCCTTCTTTGCGTTCTTCCCGTTTTTGGCTCCTTTGGCAGGGACCGGTGTCTTCTTGGCAGGAGGAGGAGCAGCTGCTTTCTTGGCAGGAGTGGCTACCGCCTTCTTCGCGGGAGTGGCTGCCTTTTTGTTGGGAGTAGCTGCTTTTGCTGGGGTCGCAGCTTTCTTGGGAGCCAGCATCTGCAGGGGAAACGCGCGACCGTGATAGGCAGAGCTACCTAGCAGCCCCCAATGTAAGGGGAATCGCTATTAAAACCCACTAAGGAAATAGTTTCAGTAGTTGTTTTTAAGTCAAAAAGCAGAGCCCAGCAGGAAACGGCTACTGTGCAGCCATAATCCCATTTGGGGAAGAGTCATCGCCCATATATAAACTGAATATTTTCATTTACAGGCAGTTCTTGAATGATAACACCCCATTTTGCAACAGTGTCAACTTACAATGGTCACATAATGGGGGTTTATGGCTAGGAAGGCCCCCTATCACCCCCGCCACGTGACCACCACCGTTATCCATTGTGGAAGCATGTGGTCACGTGATGCTTTATGTTGGTTTGTTTGCTTTTTGCCAGCTATGGCACTTTTGCTGATTTCCAGCAAATAAATGGGCTGAGACCATCTGGGTACTTGAGAGACCGCCTGCTGCCAATTACCTCCCACAGACCCATTAGATCTCACAGGGTTGGCCTCCTCC